GGGGGTGTCCGCCTCCCTGCCGGTGCCGCTGCGGGCGCACAGCAGCCTCCTGGACGAGGCGGAGAGCTTCATGCACGTGCAGCTGGAGGTCATGGGTGAGTGTCTGCGGCCGCGCCCCTCCAGTCTCCGTGCTGCAGCCATCTTGTGGACACTGATGGGTCCCCTGCTGCACGCTGACGTCTGTCCTGGGTTCTGGGTCCCAGGGTATATGTGCACAGATACTGCACACATCATGCATGGGGTCATCAGGGTGGACTTCCTAGAGGAGGCAGCTTTAAGACCCCCAGGTGGATTGGAATACACCAGGAAGGATTGGTGGGGCCATGAGCTCAGGGAACAGGCAAGGTGAATGGGCCCTAGGTGCAGATTTGGGGCTGGCAGGCATGGGCAGCAGGGCCTTTGGACAACAGGATAACAGGGAACCGTTTCTCCCAGGGTAGGTGGGAGCCATGGAGGGTGAACAGAGGGGAGCAGGTTTCATACGTGGGGCTGTATCTTTGACACAATTATTTGGGGCCATTTTTTCCTCCTGGTAAGCCTCTGTATTTCTTTTTTTAAGAATTTATTTAATTTTATTGAGCGACCAGCAGTTGGCATAATAGCTACGTCACTGGACTCCCACGTAGTTGACCATGGTTCTAGTCCCTGACCCAGGGCTTAAACTCACGCCGGGCGCGTGTGTGTGCATGCCCGAGATCCCGAGAGGAGAATGGAGGAGAAGGGATTGAGGCGTGGCCATTCCCCCTGGGGAGGTGATGTCTCGCTTTCTGTCTCTCTGTCTCTCTCTGTTTGGCGAGTGCACGCGCCCTATAGCAAAAACCTCTCCAAAAAAACCAAAAACAATAAAAAAAAACCCAAACCCACAAAGACTGGATGGTGGCATAGAGGTAAAACACAGTGACACTCAGGGACCAGCAGGTGGCACTCTGAGTAAGGTCCTGGATCCCACATTCCCGTGCCTTGCACAGAATGGGGTCCCTTTTGGAGGGAAGAGGCTCCTTCCCAGGGGCTCAGGTTCCCTGTCTTACCTGCTGCTTGACTCTTCTGTCTCTGGCTCCCCCTAGTGGCCGGACATAGAGTGACACTCTGCTCTATTTCAGGGAGACTCGGTCTTTTTGAGGTGATACCTGGAGACTCCTCCTTTTAGAGGAGACCTCTTGACACTCGAGTGTCTGTCACATGCAAATGTGACAAGTCCCACCGGCCCCAGTCACAGGAGGTGGGTCTTGGCTCATCACCCGCTTTCACCAGAAACCAGGTGGACTTGAAAAACAGCTTCCTGGCCAATATGGTGTTTTCCTAGTGTAGTTTTCCATGGCGTGGTGGTGTAGGTGTTGGATCCTTCATGGCTCATTCTGCAGTTCCATTCCCAGACCCGGTGACTTGAAAATCACACCAGGCATGTGTGCATGCATGCCCAAATATCCCGAGGGGAAAATGGCGTGGCTATTCACCCATGGGGGGGTGAGTTCTCCCTTTCCATCTCTTTCTGTCTCTCTGTTTTTCTTTGGTGGGAGCGTGCACCCTATGACAATAAAAAAAAAATTCTTTTTTTTTTTTTTGAAGAGATGTTTGCTATAGGGCGCGTGTGCTCGCCAGACAGACAAAGACAGAAAGCGAGAAATCACCCCCCAGAGGGATGGCCACGCTGAAATCCCTTCTCCTCTCAGGATCTTGGGCACGCACGCACTCGTGCCCGGTGTGAGTTTCAAGGTGCCGGGTCTAGGACTTGAACTACAGTCGACTGTGCGGTAGTCCAGTGACAAAACCATTATGACATCTACTGGTCCCTTCTTTTTTTTTTTTTTTTTTTTATTTAGTTTTTTGACACAGTGCAAGAGAAAGAGAAGAAAAGTGAGACATCACCCCCCAGGGGAGTGGCCACGCCACAATCCTTCCCCCTCTATTCTCCTCTCGGGATCTAGGGCACGCATGATTTTCGAGCCTCCAGTCCGGGACTCGACCTGTGGTTGGCCATGTGGGCCTCCAGTACCTTAACTGTCATGTCACATGCCAGCCCTAATTAGCCCATGTGCCATGTGAAGCTCAGGCTCAGACAGGCCACCTGCCCTTCCTCCATCCCATGAGTAATTACTGAGTACTCGCCGTGCACCACGCCGTGGGGTGGACACTGGGGGCCCGGGATGAATGAACAGACCTGGCATTTGCTCTGAGCGCTCACAGGAGACCACGTGGGGCCAGTAACGGCGGGGGGGGGGGGGGGGGGGGGGGTTCTGTCTCTCTGTCTCTCTCTGTTTGGCGAGTGCACGCGCCCTATAGCAAAAACCTCTCCAAAAAAACCAAAAACAATAAAAAAAAACCCAAACCCACAAAGACTGGATGGTGGCATAGAGGTAAAACACAGTGACACTCAGGGACCAGCAGGTGGCACTCTGAGTAAGGTCCTGGATCCCACATTCCCGTGCCTTGCACAGAATGGGGTCCCTTTTGGAGGGAAGAGGCTCCTTCCCAGGGGCTCAGGTTCCCTGTCTTACCTGCTGCTTGACTCTTCTGTCTCTGGCTCCCCCTAGTGGCCGGACATAGAGTGACACTCTGCTCTATTTCAGGGAGACTCGGTCTTTTTGAGGTGATACCTGGAGACTCCTCCTTTTAGAGGAGACCTCTTGACACTCGAGTGTCTGTCACATGCAAATGTGACAAGTCCCACCGGCCCCAGTCACAGGAGGTGGGTCTTGGCTCATCACCCGCTTTCACCAGAAACCAGGTGGACTTGAAAAACAGCTTCCTGGCCAATATGGTGTTTTCCTAGTGTAGTTTTCCATGGCGTGGTGGTGTAGGTGTTGGATCCTTCATGGCTCATTCTGCAGTTCCATTCCCAGACCCGGTGACTTGAAAATCACACCAGGCATGTGTGCATGCATGCCCAAATATCCCGAGGGGAAAATGGCGTGGCTATTCACCCATGGGGGGGTGAGTTCTCCCTTTCCATCTCTTTCTGTCTCTCTGTTTTTCTTTGGTGGGAGCGTGCACCCTATGACAATAAAAAAAAAATTCTTTTTTTTTTTTTTGAAGAGATGTTTGCTATAGGGCGCGTGTGCTCGCCAGACAGACAAAGACAGAAAGCGAGAAATCACCCCCCAGAGGGATGGCCACGCTGAAATCCCTTCTCCTCTCAGGATCTTGGGCACGCACGCACTCGTGCCCGGTGTGAGTTTCAAGGTGCCGGGTCTAGGACTTGAACTACAGTCGACTGTGCGGTAGTCCAGTGACAAAACCATTATGACATCTACTGGTCCCTTCTTTTTTTTTTTTTTTTTTTTTTTTTTTTAGTTTTTTGACACAGTGCAAGAGAAAGAGAAGAAAAGTGAGACATCACCCCCCAGGGGAGTGGCCACGCCACAATCCTTCCCCCTCTATTCTCCTCTCGGGATCTAGGGCACGCATGATTTTCGAGCCTCCAGTCCGGGACTCGACCTGTGGTTGGCCATGTGGGCCTCCAGTACCTTAACTGTCATGTCACATGCCAGCCCTAATTAGCCCATGTGCCATGTGAAGCTCAGGCTCAGACAGGCCACCTGCCCTTCCTCCATCCCATGAGTAATTACTGAGTACTCGCCGTGCACCACGCCGTGGGGTGGACACTGGGGGCCCGGGATGAATGAACAGACCTGGCATTTGCTCTGAGCGCTCACAGGAGACCACGTGGGGCCAGTAACGGCGGGCAGCAGGGAAGCGGGTGGAGGTGGAAGCCGGGGCTGTGCGGGCTCAGAGGAGGTGCCTGGCCGTGCTTCCCAGCTGAGCATTACGGAAAGACAGAAGGGAGGGGCGTTCCAGGGAGGGACTCGCATGTGTAAAGGTCCTGGGGTAGGAGTGGGTGACTTTGGAGTGGGTGCCAGTAGCAGGTGAGGGGAGCCCCAGGAGTGGGAAAGGGGAATAGGAAAGGAGGGAGGCCCCCCTGACCCCAGCAATCCCTTTCTCCGACCCACAGTGAAGCACCCACCTGTCGAGCCCTCCCGGTTCATCTCCCTGCCCACCAAGACCCCGGACAAGATGGGCTTTGATGAGGTGGGTCAGGTCTTCCCTGGGGTTTGGGGCAAGGCCTTCCCTGAAAGTGGGGGGAGGAGCCTGGAATCCTGTGGGTGTGACTAAAGGGCATGGGGGTGTGGCCTAGCAGTCTAGGTGGGTGTGATCAATGTTTGGGGTGTGGCTAGCCTGTGGGCGTGGCTAAAGCAAGCGCGTGGGCGTGTGGCCTGCCAGTCTATGTGGGTGTGATCAATGTTTCGGGTGTGGTTTTTTGGCCTGGCTAATGCTCATGGGCCGGTGGCCTGCCAGTCTAGGTGAGTGTGATCAGTGCTTGGGGGTGTGGCTAGCCTGCGGATGTGACTGGAGAGCATGGGGGTGTGACCCAGCTGCCTGGGTGGGTGTGGCCAAGGCATGGGGGCGTGGCTAGGCCTGTAGGCTTTGTTGAAGAGCATTGGGGTGTGACCTGACAGCCAGGGTGGGAGTGGTCAAGGCTTGGGTGTGGCCAGGCCAGGGGTGTGGCCTGGCAGCCAGGATGGGTGTGGCCAAGGCTCAGGGGCGTGGTTAGGCCTGTAGGCTTTGTTGAAGAGCATTGGGGTGTGACCTGACAGCCAGGGTGGGAGTGGTCAAGGCTTGGGGCGTGGCTAGACTGGGGGTGTGGCCTGGTAGCCAGAGTGGGTGTGGTCAAGGCCTGGGGGCGTGGCCTGGGAGCCCTGGCCTTTGAGTGACTAGCCCTAGACTGGGCAGTCCTGCCTGGGGTTCCGACCGAGGATCTCCGCCGCAGGTCTTCATGATCAACCTGAAGCGGCGGCTGGACCGGCGGGAACGCATGCTGCGAGCGCTGCATGATCAAGAAATCGAGTTCCACCTGGTGGAGGCCGTGGACGGCAAGTGAGTCCAACCCCACTGGAAGAAGCCAGTGTAGACCACGCTGTGTGGGGCCAGGCATGGAGAGCAAGAGAGTCCTGATCCAGCAAGAGAAGCAGGACCTCACAGAGCGTAGACCACACTGCGGGAGGGGGCGTGCAGCGGAAATCAGATTGCAACAGGGCAGTTCTTCCTCCTGACCCCTTCTCCTCCCGGAACTTTCCAGAGCCATGAACACCAGCCAGGTGGAGGCCCTGGGCATCCAGATGCTGCCTGGCTACCGGGACCCCTACCATGGGCGGCCGCTCACCAAGGGCGAACTGGGCTGCTTCCTCAGCCACTACAACATCTGGAAGGAGGTGGGTGCTGGCCTGGGCGGCTGGGCGGGAGGTGTCGGATGATGGGAGGGAACCGCCCACCCAGGCGGGCTTCCAACAATGGTGACGCTCAGAGGTGGCCTCCTTCCTCAAGTGTCCCCTAGTGGCCAGGCCAGCAGCTTAATCAGCCTCAGCACCTCCCAATGGGGACGCTGCTAGTTCATTTTGTGGACCTGGAGACTTAGGCTGGGAGGGGAGAGGTGAGCCGGGCTGGTGCAGCAGGTGGAGCCGTAGAGCGATCTGGGGTCTGGGTCCCCAAAGCAAAACCTCCTCACGCCTAATCTATTTGGGTGTTATGAAAGTTCATGAGGGGCCAGCAGGTGGCGTGGTCATTAAGGTGCTGGACAATCCCATATGGCTGACTACGGTTCGAGTCCTGGACCTGGTGGCTTGCTTCTCACCTTCTTTCTCTCTCTCTCTGGTCAAATTAAATGAATAAATATAATTAAAATAAATAATTCTTTTAAAAAAAAGACATCAACAACTCCCATTGGGGGGGGAAAAAAACCACGGAGGTATTGGCAGGGGGCGTGGTGGTTAAGAGTACTAGACTCCACATGGGCAACTCTTGTTTGAGTCCCAGACCTGGTGACTTGCTTTCTCGCTTTCTCTCTCTGGTCACATTAACTAATAATAATAATAATAAGAGGTAAATAAATAAGTAAAGTTAAATAAAATAATAATTTTTTTTAAAAAAAGAAAGAGGGACCAGCAGTTAGTGTAATGGCTATGTCTCTGGACTCCCATGTAGTCAATCGTGGTTCGAGTTTCGAACCCGGTGGCTTAAATTCATGCCATGCGCGTGTGCGTGTGTGCCCAAGATCCCGAGAAGAGAATGGAGGAGAAAGGATTGTGACGTGGCCATCCCCCCTGGGGGGTGATTTCTCGCTTTCTGTCTCTCTGTCTCTCTCTGTCTTTCTGGCAAGCGCACGTGCTCTATAGCAAAAACCCCTCCAAAAAAAAGAAAATGTGTATTAGGGATCTAGCTGGTGGTATGGTGGTTAGGGCAGTTGGATCCCACAGGCTGACTGCACAGTTTGAGCCCTGGACCCAGCAGCTTGAAAATCACACTGGGTACGTGTGCATGTGTGCCCCAGATCCTGAGAGGTGAGGGGATTGTGGCATGGCCAATCCCCTGGGGCATGATTTCTCACTTTCCCTCTCTCTCTCTGGTGCATTCTCCAGTGAGCACATGCGGCCTGTAGAAAACCAAAAATAAAATAAATAAATAAATAAATAACGACTAGGGAAAAACTACACATGAATTTCAAAACAATTCTTTGCAGCAAAATAAACTCATACTTAGGCTCCATTTTTCCAGAAACGTTTTTCTTATTCTTCATGATACAGCATGTGTATACTATGTAAGAGCGTGTCCATGTGTGTGCCCAGAGTCCAGAAAGAAGCACCCTCCACAGTTTGGTCACTCCATGTCCCCCTTCCTCCAGTCTTCCAGCCTGTTGACTCCTGGGTACTCGTGTGGCTCGTGTGGGTCCTCAGTGTGTTACAGACTGACGAGACAGGGATTTGAACCTTGGTCACCATGTGCAATCTGGCTACTCTCTCTCTTTCTTTTTTATTTTTTTTCTTTAAGAGATTTTTGTTATAGGGCTTCTTCGAGAGACAGAAAGCAAGAAATCACCCCCCAGGGGGATGGCTACACCACAACCCCTTCTCCTCCATTCTCCTCTTAGAATGTTGGGTACACATGCACACATGCCTGGCTGAGTTTAAGCCACTGGGTCCGGGACTTGAACCGCGGTCGACTATGTGGGAGTTCAGTGACGTGCCCATTAGACCATTTGCTGGTTCATCTCTCTCTCTTTAAAATCTTGCTGTGTGTGTGTGCATCCACCAGAGGACAGAGAGAGAGAGAGAGAAATCACCCCCTGGGAGATGCCCAGGCCACAATCCCTCCTCCCTCAATCTTCATTCTGAATTTTGATCACACACGCACATGGGCCTGGTGTGTTTTTCTTTTTCTTTTTGGAGAGGTTTTCGCCAGAAAGACAGAGCCCATCTATCACTGCTGGGAAGAAGCGTATTCAGTGTCAAAGGCATGGTACAGGCAAAAGCCCTACGGGGGGAGGACCCAGGCAGGTGGGAAGAACAAGGAGGTCATAACTAAGAAGTTAATCTGTACATCAGGGAGAGGGTATGCATTTACATCTCTTTGGGTGCCCTAAAGCCTTCAAGCAGAGCTGCTAGCTTCAGGGACAGGCCTGGCCTCGGTCTTCCTGTGAGCTCATGGGGCCTCCTCCCTCAGGTGGTGGACAGAGGGCTACAGAAGTCGCTTGTGTTTGAGGATGACCTGCGATTCGAGATCTTCTTCAAGAGGCGCCTGATAAACCTCATGAAGGATGTGGAGCGGGAGGACCTGGACTGGGACCTTATGTGAGTAGGAGGTTGGGGCCTAGACAGAGCTGGAGCCTGGTGTGTGGCCAGGGCTTGGAGGTGGGGCCTGGGATGGGAGTGGGACCCAGTATAGAACTAGATTCCAGGGGCATTGCCTGGAGCCTGTAGGTCTGGGGGCATGACCAGTGTAATAAGCTGGCCTGGGCAATGGCTAAGTCTTGGCAACCTGGCAGATAAGCTCACTTGGTCCCTGGACTTGAGGCACTGTCAAGGGCACAGACTGTGGGGTAGGACTTTGGGAGGATAACCTAGAATAGGTACCTGGCCAGAAGCCCACAGACTTAATGAGAGCTTAGAGAACAGTCTGGGGCCGGTGAAGGTGGGAATGTGGTTAGGATTTGGCTTGGAATCCTGTGGGTCTGACTGAAGAGCACGGAGCATGGCCAGGCAGCCTGGGTGGGCGTGGTCAAGGCTTACAGGCATAACTGAGGAGTATGAGGGTGTGGCCAGGGAGGCCAGTCTTCGACCAGCACTAGGGTAAGAATGGGATCAGAATATTCCTGGAGACCAGCAGTTAGCGTCATGGCTATGTCGCTGGACTCCCATGTAGTCAACCGTGGTTCAAGTTCTGGACCCGGCGGTTTAAACTCACGCTGGGTGTGTGTGCGTGCGTGCCCAAGATCCCAAGAGAATGGAGGAAAAGGGATTGCGGCGTGACCATCCCCTCTGGGGGGTGATTTCTCACTTTCTGTCGCTCTGTCTCTCTCTGTCTTTCTGGTGAGTGCACATGCCCTATAGCGAAAACCTCTCCAAAAAACAAAAAAAGAATATTCCTGGAGGGTCCTCTGGAATCTCATCTAGTGGGACTGGTCTGTTTTCCATCACTCCTCCTTTGCTTCTTCCAGCCTCGTTTACTTACTCCTTTCTGTTACTCGGTCCTGTACAGGTCCCTAATCTGGGTTCTGGGGATACTTTCTCAGAATCCAGCCCATGCTACTAATAGGAACAGCAACTGCACCCCTTCGTTCCTGACTGCTCGAGGCACCTTGCCCAACTCCACATGCCAGAGCCCTCTGATTCCAGAGCAATTTCAGGCTCAGAGGACATTCAAGTGACCCCACTCCATGTCTTCCCATGGCTCCCCTGTTGCCCTTGGTGAAAACTCAGCCTATAGGTCTTGGGGTGCAGCAAGGGTAATAGACATGGGCAACATGGCAGAAGGGCTCACAGTGGCCTCTAGTCAAGGGTGTGGGGCCTTGGGAGGTGACCTGGACACTCAGATACCTCTCTTTACTGTGGTCTTAACCCTACCCCATCCCGTCATAGCAGCCTTCTTACCACTCCCCAAACACAAGAGTCCACTCTTGTCCTAAGACCTGACCAGGTAAGGAGGTCCCTGCCTTTCTGGATCAGCCATCTCTGGAGGGCAGGGGGAATGTGACCGATATTCAATTCCACACCCTAGCTATGTGGGCCGAAAGCGGATGCAGGTGGAGCACCCTGAGAAGGCCGTGCCCCGCGTGAGGAACCTGGTGGAAGCCGACTACTCCTACTGGACACTAGCCTATGTGATCTCCCTGCAAGGTGCCCGCAAGCTGTTGGCAGCCAAGCCGCTCACCAAGATGTTGCCCGTCGACGAGTTCCTGCCTGTGATGTTCGACAAGCACCCAGTGTGAGAAGGCATTGCAGTGGGCAAGCCGGGGGCTGGGTTTTCACTGTCCATTCTGGGCGGGTGGGGGTATGAGGTTTGCAAACTCCAGATAGGTGTCTTCCTCTGTCCACTGTTCCCTCCATTTCTCTTCCCTTCTGTCTCCAATTGCCCCAGCTCCACTCTCTTTCTGTCCCACTTCTGTCTCCATAGGTCCCTTTTCTATCTTCCCTTCCCCAGACTTACTGTTGCCTCTCAATCCCCTCATCCTCCCCAGGTCCAAGTACAAGGTCCACTTCTCCCCCCGCAACCTGCGTGCCTTTTCTGTGGAGCCCTTGCTGGTTTACCCCACGCACTACACAGGGGATGATGGCTACGTGAGCGACACAGAAACCTCAGTCGTATGGAACAATGAACACGTCAAAACCGACTGGGACCGTGCCAAGTCCCAGAAGATGCGGGAGCAGCAGGCCCTGAGCCGGGAGGCCAAGAACTCCGATGTACTCCAGTCTCCGTTGGACAGCGCTGCCCGGGATGAACTCTGAGGGGCAACACCCCAAACGCCAAAGCAGCCATTGCTGGTCCAGCCTCCACTTCCTCACTAGAGACTATGGGGTCCCCTACAGACCTCAGAACAGGTCACGGGGAGCTCTCCATGCAGGGTGGTGTCCAGACAGCTCTTGCTCCGCAATCACATACACGCAGGAAGCATTAATAGAGTGCCTACTGTATACCAGGAACAGGGCTCGGCACCGGGAAATTGGGTGGAACCAGGCCCTCTTCTTCTGTTCATGTGCCTGAAATGTAAAAGATCCTCTTGTGTGCCACGTTTCTGTGTCATGGCAGAGAATGAGGCTTAATAATTCCCTCCATCCAGTCATTAAGCACACATTGATCAGAAGAAGTATTAAGCCTTAGTGACACACATTAACTTTGAAAACTTGTTTCAAGTATTTATTGAGTGCCTCCTGTGTGTCGGGCCTCCTTCCTGGCTCTGGGAATATTGAGATAAATAAGACCTTTTATTAATTTATTCAAGCACATTGAGCACCTACTATTTGCCCGGCACTTAGGTCACAAAGATAAGTTCTTGGTTCGGTACATATATTAAGTACCTGTTGTGTGCTGGACAAGTTGCTGGAGATGGAGATAAACAAGGTGCTTTTTACTCTTGTTTTTTTTTTTTTTCTTCCCCACACATCTCGAGAGTACCTACTGTGTGCCGGGCATACAGTATGCAGTTTGATTTTATTTACAATATACTGGGACACATCATCAAGACGAGTCCCTTCATTTCTTCATGCAGGAAGCATTTATTGAACACATACTGTATGCTAGATCTCACAGACTCCCAATCGGGTTCAAGAATGGTTAACTGAGTGATGTTCTTATCCCTCCCTCCAATCTGAGCTGTGGGCAGACAATACCCTCCCACCACCCAGGAGGGAGGGTAGCTCTTCCCCCAACCAGGGCCAGCCATGAGACCCAGTGGCCACGTGGCCATAAGAAAACCCCCCTGGAGGGGATGTGGGGTACAGATGGAGGCTGGGTCTCCCTGGTCTACCCCGGTTTCATTTGCATGATCTCCCTGCCCTGTGACTCAGGTGTGGTGTCTTCCTGCTTGATGAGGCTCCTCTGTTCAAGTCTTTGGTGGGATCATGTGTTTAGGGGTGCCTTTCAGGGTTCAGCTGCACTAGGGCACTGCCTGTGGCCCACATAAAATGTCTCCCAGCAAGGGCCAGCAGGGTTGCTGTGCCTTCAGGCCGAATTGAATGTCAGAACCAGCCAGCGGTGCTCCATCCTTTGGGGGATGCCTCTGCTCGCCAGGTTGGGTCCTGGGTAACTTGCTTATTTTTGTATTAAATGTTCCTGGTTGGTTTTCAGTGAAGTCTGTGGTCTTACTTGCTCCCAGAATGCCTCCCTCCCTCCTAACCCTGGTTGTCACCAGTTGAACTTTGGGAGGACACTAGGGTAGGTGCTGTGGACAAGCTAGTCCATGGAATGAGGGCTGGTGAGGGTATACTGAGTCCTGTGTCCCAGCTTACCCCAGAAAGCATCTCCTCAATAGCTCAGGGACAGGACCAGCAGTTAGCGTAACAGCTATGTCACTGGACTCCCATGTAGCTGACCACAGTTCAAGTTCCGGACCCAGTGGCTTAAAACTTACGCCAGGCGCGTGTGCGTGCATGCCGAAGATCCCAAGAGGAGAATGGAGGAGAAAGGATTGCAGTGTGGCCATCCCCCTGGGGGGGGGTGATTTCTTGCTTTCTGTCTCTCTGTCTTTCTCTGTCTGGCGAGCACATGCGCCCTATAGCAAAAACCTCTCCAAAAGCTCAGGGACAGCAGACCTCTCTCCCCCTAATATTTTCTTCTTTTTCTTTCTTTTCTTTTCTTTTCTTTTTTTTTGGCTTGTGGGTGACATGTGCTCACTAGAGAGATAAGAGAGAAATCACACCCCATGAGGGATGGCCACACTGCAGTCCTTTCTTTGTTCTCCTTGGGATTTTCAGCAAGCACGCACATGGGCCCTGCATGTTTTCCAAGCTCCCTGGTTAAGGATTCAAGGATTCAAGCCATGCAGTTGGCCATGTGGAATCCAACCACCTTAATTTCCACATCACCCACTGGCCTTAAAGTATATTTCTTTGATGAGTAAGTGCATGAGAGGGAGAAGGAAGGGCACCCTCAAAGGGTCTCATCACACTGTAATCCTCTTTCCTGAGCCCTCCAGCCAGTCAGGATTTGGAGCATATGTGGGTGTTTAAGATTCACTTAGGTCCTTTCTTTTTTTTTGGGGGGGGGGAAGAGGTTTTTTGCTATAGGATGCGTGTGCTCACCAGAAAGACAGAGACAGAAAGCGAGAAATCACCCCTAGGAGAGATGGCCACGCTGCAGTCCCTTCTCCATTCTCCTCTCAGGATCTTGGGCATGCATGCACACGCTCCTGGCATGAGTTTAAGCCACCAGGTCCAGGACTTGAACTGCCGTCAGCTACATGGGAGTCCAGCAACATAGCCATTACGCCAACTGTTGGTCCCAATAAATACATATGTATTTTTTTCTTTTTTCTTTTTTTTTTTTGGGGGGGGGAAGAGGTTTTTTGCTATAGGATGCGTGTGCTCACCAGAAAGACAGAGACAGAAAGCGAGAAATCACCCCCCAGGGGGGATGGCCATGCCTCAATCCCTTCTCCTCCATTCTCCTCTCAGGATCTTGGGCATGCACGCACACGCATCTGGCATGAGCTTAAGTCACCAGGTCTGGGACTTGAACCGTGGTCGACTACGTGGGAGTCCAGCAACAAAACCATTACGCTAACTGCTGGTCCCAATGCATATATTTTTTAAAAGAGGATTGTGTTACATAAAGTGCAAGAACCGGTTGTTTTTAGGATGTGTGTGTTCATCACAGAGAGAGAATGAGAGAGAGGGAAAGTGAGAGATCACCCCTGGGAGGGATGGACACACTGCAATACCTTCTCCTCCATTCTCCTTTTGGAATTATGGGCATATATGCATGTACATCTGGCATGTTTTCCAAGCTGCCAGATTTGGGACTTGAACTACACAGTTGGTCATGTGGGGTCCAGCACCTTAAACACCATGCCACCTGCTGGCCTCAAACTAGCCTTTCTTTTTATTTTTATTTATTTATTTATTGAAGAGGTTTTTACTAGAAAGCTTTGCCAGAAAGACAGAGAGAGACAGAGACAGAAAGCGAGAAATCACCCCCCCACCCCAGGGGGATGACCACACCGCAATCCCTTCTCTTCCTTTCTCCTCTCAGGATCTTGGGCACACATGCACACACACCCAGCGTGAGTTTAAGCCACTGGATCTGGGACTCAAATCATGGTCGACTACATGGGAGTCCAGTGACATAGCTATTATGCCAACTGCTTCCTTCCCTTAAAAAAAAAAAAAAGTATTTAAGTTTGCAATAGGGTATGTGCACTCACCAGAGAGAAAGAGAGAAGAAAAGTGAGAAAGCAAGCTATCAGGTCTGGGACTTGAACTGTGGTTAACCATGTGGGGTCCAGCACCTTTATTAATTTTTTTTTAAGAATTATTTCATTTTATTTATTATTTTTCAATATGACGAGAGAGGGAAAGTGAGAAAGCAAGCCACCAGGTCTGGGACTCAAACTGCAGTTGGCCATGTTGAGAGTCCAGTGCCTCAACCACCACACCACCTGCTGGCCCCCAGGATCCAGCACCTTAACCACCCACCACCTGCTGGTCTGGAAGTAGCCTTCCACTGCTCACCAAGCTTGTCGCCAGAATGCTGACTTGGAACGTCCAGTTGTTTCCATTTCTGGCTGCAGGCAGAGTGGAGGGGGAATAACCAACATGACTCTGGTCCATTCTGCCTGCCAGATTTCCACAGCTGCCTCCGGCTGCTGGACCCAAACACATATCCTGGGTTTGCAGCCTCTGTCTAGAAGGCGGTTGGATTGGGGTGGATGTTGGTGTCAACCCATGGGAGTTCGTTAGTGTTATAACGATGGTAAGACGATGGCGTAATTACAGGACATACGATCATTGTAATCGTGGCGTGTAATTGCAGGGTTAGGAGTGGAGTAATTGCCATGCAATATAATAAATTATATAATGAAATGGAATCATCAACTGCATGACTGTGTTACACCCTCCAGGAAACTCAATGTGTATCTTCCCCAACCCCCAAGTTTTTGCTATAGGGTGCCAAACACTCACTGGAGAGAGAGAGAGAGAGAGAGAGAGAGAGAGAGAGAGGTGAGAAAGCACCCCCCAAGGAAAATGGCCACACCAACATCTCTTCTCCGTTTTCCTCCTTGCACCCAACATTGTGTTTCTGCCAAGTTCAGGGGACCAGCAGTTAGCGTAATGGCTATGTTGCTGGACTCCCATGTACTCGACCACGGTTTGAGTCCTGGACCCGGTGGCTTAAACTCACACCGGGTGCATGTGCGTGCGTACCCAAGATCCCGAGAGGAGAATGGAGAAGGGATTGTGACATGGCCATCCCCCCTGGGGGGTGATTTCTCGCTTTCTGTCTCTCTCTGTTTGTCTGGCGAGTGCACGCACCCTATAGCAAAAAA